CTGATAATTTGCTGGGCAGAAATGTCAAGAAGGAGCCCCAGGTGCCAGTTAAAATATTGGCCCCATTAGGTAGACCAGACCATAAAATCAACTCCACAGGAAGGCAAAAACTATTTTTATTCAGACTGGCTATAACAGAATCTTGTCTCTTTGTGCTGTACCTCTTCCTCCTCTTCCTTCTTATAGTTCGGGGAATTAGTTTGCCTGATCTGCTTCCAAATGTTATCTTGTTCTGGGCTTAAAAAATGCATACAGGTAGTCCTCAGTTAACAACCATTTGCTCAGCGACCATTCAAAGTTACAGTGGCACTGAACAAGGAGACTTCCAGCCAGCCGGTCCTTGATGATGTGGCTGTTGCAGTGTCCTGCAGTCACATGATCACCATTTGCTACCTTCACTGTTGGCTTCTGACAAGCAAAATCAACAGGGGATCTGGCAAGAGGTCACAAATAGCAATCACATGATGTCACACTTAATGACCGTGCGGGATTCAGAGTTGATGGCAACCAGTACTGCCACAACCGCCATTGTAAATTGGCATAGTCACATGATGTTGTACTTTATGACCATGTCGCTTAACAGAGTTGCTGGTCCCAATTACCATCATTAAGTGAGGACTACCTGTATCTCCTTCAAGGTCATCTTCTATAACCATAATAAGGCATTATATGCTCCTGGAAATGGGTGGCTAATGCACCATCAGGTCATGGGATCTTTCATCTCTTCTTCTTAATGGCAGCCCAGATAACCCTCCTTCAAAGTCAGTCCTCTAAAACCAATAAGAACATGAAGACAAAGGATCATGGATGTATTCAGAGAGGCTTTAGATTCACTGTATCCAAAGTTTTCCCATTCTGGTCTCTCATATATGTTTACAAATCTCTTACCAAAATCATCCACCCTTCTCTGTGTTCCAATCATATATCAATCTTCCAAAAATGGAAAGTTCTGTAAACATTCCATAAAATGCCATAGAGATCCATTTGAGATCCAGTACAAGCAAACTCTGGTTTGTCTTCCTTTTTTTATCTCTGCCCTTATATTCCTGGTTCTGTTTCATTCAGCCATTCCTTTGCTATTTGCAGTTTCTATCCCAGAAAAAAGGTCATGGATAAACTGTATAAGAGTATACTCATCAGTTAAAACGGGTTTTTTTTTTGTATAAAACAAGCTAATATTTCACTTCTAACTGAATTCAAGTCTTGTCAAATTATTTTGGTACCTATGGAAGCATTTCTCATAAGCATTTCTCTTTAAGGGTTTTAGAAAAAAAATTAGTGAATTAACAATTTGCTGTCCTTTCGTGGAACTCGTTTAACTGTGAGCTGCCCAGAGTCACCCGTTGGGGGGAGATGGGCGGCATACAAATTTAATAATAAATAAACTCCAAATTAGATGATTATTGCACTATTTCTCATAGAAAGACAGGTGCTGAGGAATAACATCTTGTTTGGAGGCTCTAGCAAGGGCCTCCAGCTATTACAATCCTTGACTAAAGAATGATAGTCCTTGTGTATGGAATGGATTTCCTCATGCCTAGAGAGCCCACACAGCTTTGGGACAGCATGCATGGAGCAATGGTAGGAAGGTGATATTGGTCTGGCCACTCAGGCCAACAGCTCAGGACCAACTGATAAAAGCCAGATAATACTCACATGCAGGAAATAGTACCAGAAATACTAGCCTTTTTTTATGCATACATATCAAAAGGCTCTAAGCTAGTTGAGGACATTTGAGAAGAGGTGAAGGCAGTAACACGAAGTCAGTGTGGTAGCAAAATTAGACCTTTCACAGGGGCCACTCCAAGATAACAAGAAATACCTACTTCTAATGCTAGCATTTTACATATTAAGTCCTGAAATAAACTGTATTTTAAGACATTTTAGCAGACTTATGTTGAATTTATTGTCTGGTGATTCAGTTGTCTTAAGTAAGTGCTTAAGTCACCTAGATAAGTGCTTTGTCACCTAGACAGTGAAACATGCTGCCATAGAAACCTAAAGGCTCTATTTCTCACCACCTAGTTTTTATCCAGGCAGATAAACAGCTGCAGTTTTACAGAAGTAGGGTAGTTTAACCACTGCTCTTTCAAGGAAGCCTGAAACTGCTTTCTCCACAAGTTTGTTTTCATGCTGTACCCTTTCTGGAGCTTTCAGAATAGACCATACTGTTACTGATGCAGCCTGTTCTTGTTCACTCAGAAGCAAATACCACTGTATTCAGCAATGCTTATTCTGATATATGTGTGCACAGAATTACAATCCTACAGAAAAAAAAGATAGTTTCCTGTGCAAATATCTCAACACCTTAGAGGAGCACTTGCTTTGTTAATTGAGTAACTAGCACTTAATAAACTAAAATGTGTTAGTTGATTCATCAGTTGAAGAATATCTTGAATGCTTAAGTTTTTTAAAAATTTGCATCAAGAGAAAAAGAAAAAAATTAAATACATAAACAGACTAATCTATATGACATATAATCAAAATGTATCCCCTTGCCACACATACACGCAAAGAAAAAAAAGGGATGAGAGTCTGGAAAATTGCCTCCTAAGGAAGCACTCCAAACAATTTGAGCAGACTGCTTGATTGGTCTTTCTTACCCTTTGTTTAAGAGAAAAGGACCACAACCCCAATTCAAATGTTGACAGACCACAAATATTAGCAATCTACGAATATAAGTCAGTAGTAGATTTGTTCTTCCAGTGTTGCATAATAATTCTTTTGTCCATCTTCTGTGCATTTGTCCAACTCCTGTGCACCTCAAGTCCACTAACAAATTCCAAATGCTGGAGATTCAGCCAAGCAATGCGTGTGTGTTTTTACCCAGCAACAACTGAAATCATATTAATATTTTTACAGCTCTAGTCCAAAATGTGATAATAGTTGGACAAGTCCAGGCCATGTTAACATTTCAACTTCTGATCTGCATCTCTAACAGCAAGATGTTGCACACAGCCCTTATTAAACATTCTCTGAGGTGTCCAATAGATAGAATTGTCTGTTGTATTATGCTTATTCTAAGATCCAATGAGGATAATTGCACATTTTTTAAGGTGACCTTCCCTTGCTTTACAAAAGCACCATTCCTGTATGTTGTTCCAAGGTTCTCATAAATACTTAATGTCAATTCAATACATGTGTTTTGACTTTCTATCCACCGAGTGCTAAAACTGAAGAAACTGCAAACTATTTTGAGTTCTTCAAATTTTGAAGACCTAGTAATGATTTGATAAAAGGCCCAATTTACCCAGAAAGTGGATTTACCTGGTATTTAATGAAAGTTTTTAATGAGCAAAAGGGCCAAGATTAGTCTACAATCAATATTTTCCAGATATGACTTGCAGCTTAAAATGCAGGTATAGAAACTGATTTTCACACAAATTGGGTATTCAATAGCTGCCAATATGGCAAAGACCCTGAGGGGCAGCAAACAGGATAACTATTCAGAAATGAAAAGCTATTCCAGATTTAAAATAATGGATTACAGATATGTCTTTGTTTCCTATTTATGTGGTGGCTACAACACATTCCTGAGAAAATGCATGGTTGCAGACAGGTGATCTATTTGTGTTCCGGCTCATTTTGAAGCACTTTGAAACTGAAGCACTAAAGCACTGCCCTACCAAATATACGCTAGCTTTCAAATATCAATCTGTAAGTATAATATTGAGGTTTGCAAGCAAAAAAAGAAAAGAAAAGGAATCTAAGGTTGGATTCAGATTGTCTCCAGCTAGCCATATCACAGAAAAACGACACTTTTACAATGATGTAAATACCAACTTCATCCATATGTACTTGTATCCCACTATGTGACACAAACATAAATTGTGGGGTTCACATCATGCAATTGTGATGCATATTTCTTCACTTTCCCCATTGAGTCCCCACTGTTGATGCCCATGGCTATTACTTGAACCACTTTCTTATTATACAAACATTGAAAATGAAGTACAAATTATGGAAAACCTGAATGTTGAATTCAATAGTGCTGAAATGACTTAACAATGAGTATTTAAAATGTTCTTCAGCTGACATTTCTTCCTTAGCCATCAGCATGGAAAAACGTCTGAACAAATTGCAATACCTCTTGTGCTTTTAGAATTACTGACCACTTATATGGATCTCTCCTACCCAAGGTTCCCGTAAAAGCTGCTTATCCTTTGAAGGAATATAGAATCTTCTGTAAGAAAACAATTTCAGTTCCTGTTTTATATGTTGAAATAGCACTCGCCACCCTTTACAAGGAGACCCCAATTCCTTAATGCTCCAAGTTAGAATGTAAACTATTAACATTATTAGAAACAGAACAAGGAAAAGACAATCATCATTTCCACCTTGAGTATACAAAGCCTTAAACAGAAGCATTCCAAACCAAAGAAGTAAGCAAAGCAAAGTTGGACAAAAATGATGAAAAACTAAAACAAAATTTGTCCTCCCAAATCTGCAATAGCGATGGGGCAATCCCAATCTCCCCCCCCCCGCTTCAATAAGCTAATAAGTAGTAATAATAGCAGTACACGGATGACTGGCGAGTAGGCAATCAGCAAAATACGCCCAATTTTAGTGCTTCCGTAAAAACAACAGGCTGGCCCTTTTCGTGGTCTGGAATTTCTACTGTTTGTCAGTTAGACTGACATTCGAGATACCTGGATTTTATCCCGAAAGAGATCTTACTGGATTTTATTAAATCCCTTATAGGTGGGTCAACAGACTTCCCATGGTTGTCACCCGGAGAGATTCGCAGGAAGGATGGCCAATTCTGTCCTGCGTGCAAACACGCCGAGTAAAAGTGAGGCGCGCTTTTGTCGACGCACGTGCAGAAAGCCCGAGGTTTGAGCACGTGGGAGGTGAGTCTCCCCATCCCGCCCCTGCCAAGGGGGGCGCGAGCCTTTGCAGTGCGAAACTGAGGCTGCGTTCTCCGAAGGGAAGCGGGGCCGCCCGGTGGGCCGTCGCTTCTCTTCGCGGAGGCGGGATCTCTAAAGCCCTGATGTCCGCGGCGTCGTGGGGGAGACGCCGGCGCAAGGGCTGCAGAGAACGGCTCGTGGGCTCGCCTGGGGAGCTGCTGCCGAGCAATGGTGAAAATTGGCTTCCCGCCGGTTACAGCTGTGCTCAAGCCGGAGAAGGAGGCTGCAGGCTCGGCGGCAGCTGCAACGAGCCATGGGGCCAAAGCAGAAGGCCTCCTCCTGCCTCAGGACGTGGTGAGTCTGTAAGGGGCAACAGCCCCGGCGGCATTTCGGGATCAGGTGTGCATTTCAGTTAAGGATGATGAATAAATGAAAGCAATCATGAAGAGTCGACGATGTTACGATTTTTTAAAAAGTGTGGTAGTGTTAGACACAGTTAACTGGAAAAGAAGGCCCGCTAAGCATAGACGCGATTCTGGTGATTTCTTAACCTGCCGGTTGCCGACCTTTGCAGGGATGGGACTATTGCATCGCGCAATATGCGTTTATTACGGTACTTGAGTAAAGCAGGTAAGCCCGAAGCAGGTCGCGCGGGCGCTGGAACCGAAGAAAAGCACTTTCATCACGAACGGCTCGAGCCCCGAGGAAGACAGAAATGGATTCACGTAGGGGAAAGAATCACGTCCCTTTAAAAGCGCTACTGTTGTATGATTCGTCTCTGGCTAGCACGACTGAGGAGCAAGAAGCTGGGGAGTAATTCCCTTTCACTGGCAAGCATAGTATAGTGGGCATGTTTTCCTTTCCACACGAATGCCAGGAAACCCAAAGGGTCTGCTGTTTGTTTTAGCTAATAATAAATTAAACCAAACCAACCAAACAACAAAAACTTTCCCTCAACTCTGTCCAGCGTCAGCCACTTGTGCTGATCTTTTTCCATCCCTTCCTGCCAGCATCATGGAAAATGGGCTGTCTCAGGGTAAGGGGAGTTAATGAAGCCAATCTTTCTGGACATCAGGTTGGAGAAGTTGTGTACACGTTGTATCTGCAGTGCAACAACTGGCAACCAGGCCTGTTATAGTCAGCTATTCCTGATGGCTGCAACTCTCTGGATTTAGACAACTGTTTCCCAGCCCTAAAGGGTCTTTTAACATTGATAGCACAAGCAACATTTTCATGAAAAGGATTTATTTGGTCCTTCCCTTTGCTATCTTCTGAAAGTTTACACCCTGTGGTTGTGCTTCCAAGTGTTTACAGATAAAATTCTTCTAAAGAATGATCAGAGCCTGGCGTCTCTGTGCCAAGAAGGTAGGATATGGATTGTTTTGCACCTCCCAAGATCTGCTACCTTTCATTTACATAATAATAATTTGATGTGTAATAATATCAGATGATGCTCTAACAGAAGCCTGGAGCTTGTCCTCCCCTCCTTTCTTGTCCAGTCTTCCCCCAAACTCTCTTCTAATCTGTATGTTTGGGACTCGAATTGCTGTATCATGTTGGCTGACTTCAGTGCGAGTGGCAGTCCATAGTGTTTTGGAAGGCACCAGGTTAGAAAAGGTGGTTCTTATGTTATTCCCCCTGGTAGACTGGATACTTGCGAAAGCAATATCTTACACTGGGTAATGCTTTTGAACCTCTGACTGGATTCTCTACTCCTGCTCTGGGATTGGCCCAGCAAACTTGAGTGATAGATATTTTAGATTATTCCTGTTTCTTTGACTCAGATGAATGGCTAGCTTTCTTCTTAGAGTCTTGAATATCTCCAGTTATAAAATCAAGGGAAAAAGGCCAGAGATTTCTGGGCAAGCAAGGGTATTTGTTACCATGGGGACTTTCTCTTCCCTTCTGAGGGATTGTTCTGTTGCTCCTATGTTCTCTTCTAAAAATAATGGGAACTTGACTTCATTCTTTGTTGTTTGTGTTGTTATATAATATCTCTATTGTTCAGCGTGTTGGGGACCTCTTATTTGTCTTCCGCAAATTCCAGTAGTTACAGAGCATTTTTCTACATAAGGTAAAATCAAATTAAGGATATTTATTTTCCCCAGTTCTCTTGATCTGTAATCTAAAACAGCAGAGATGATTTTTCCATCTTCCATACTCTGCATGTGACCATGTCAGTGGTTTATTTTCAAGACTTGTGGTTGCATTAGTAGATGAGATTGAAAGATATACTGTAACCAACTCTACTAATCTTATTCTTACGAGGTGTATTCTGGCTAGATCATATGTGGGCGAGGTTTTGGTAGCCAAATATTTCATCTGTTGGTGTTTTGAATAGTTTCACAGTAAGGTAAAGTGGGTGGCACCATAGCATACACATGGAGAGGGCCAAGGTTTTCTGGTATTTATTCCCTGGATTTTGGAGAAGAGTTTAGGCTTATAGGTTGTAAGCCTACACTGCTTACATGAGTTCTCTTCTGTATAGTTAAAAGGAGTTGAAGGAGGTTGTCACTTTAGGCTAAAAACGTAGTATTAAATTCAATTTAAAAGTTTTATTTTTAAGTTACTCATTAAGCCTTGTGCCTGTTTCCTAAGCTCTCTGTTTTTTGCTTTCATGCAAGGACATCTCACTACCTTTGTATACAAATCTCTCAGTCCAGGAGGCATAGTTTTCAAATCCTTACCTGTAACACATTTTATTACAAAAAGTTTTAATATTGCTGCCTTAGTTCAATGTTCCCTGGGAATAGAGGGTAATAGAGAGTAATAGAGTAATATTAGTAATGGAGTAATAGAGAAGACAATTTGGGAAAGTCTTGAAATCCCAATTTATTAGGTATTCAAAGTCTTCAGGGAGAAATTTATAATTATTCCCTCTCTGTTTAATTAGATGTCTTATTGGAAACAGAGGGCTTAAGTCCTATTTGATGGGCTTTGTAATTCTTTTGTGGTGTGTTGGCAGTTGTTAAAAAGAAGTGTTTTTCATTTGTTCATTCATGAATTCGTTCATAGAGCTACCTAATGGAAACAACTCAAGGTAGAATTTTGATACCACATTAACAGGACTAACCTCACCACCTAAACAAAAATTAATGTTTTGTTTTGCAAGCTGACAATTGCAAATTGTCCACTCCAATTGACACTGGAGGCCTGTTTCAGATTACCAATGAAGATGGTTCCAACAATGTTTCCTTCCTGAACTATAGAGACTGCCATCTTTTTAAAGAGAGGGGATGGGGTGGGGAAGAGATTAAAAAAAACAACATAATAACTGTCTCTGCTTATTTTAATATGGCCTAGATGTTTTTCGTAGTCATGTGATTCTATGATGCTCTGAGGAAATCTTGGCTCCTTGATATCATGGCATATATTGATTTTATCACTCTCGTAATTTCTTTGCTCTGCTTCCTGGAAAGACTGGATATCACAGTCATGGCATTCAAGGGTATCTGCATCCCTACAGACAGCTTCTCTGGTGCTCACCAGGTTCTGCCTATTTTTAATTTATTTTTATGTATTTATTTCTTAAAGGAAAGTAGCATCCTGCAAAGCAAGTCTCAAGCAAGTATTTATTTATACAGTTGTTATCTCCAAGAATGCTCTAGGCTGCTCTCCACTCTAGAGGCATACGATCTATAAGTAGCTTTGTCTGAAGTATGTCCATGTGCCTAGAAAAAAAGAAAGTGTTAGCCAGAATTGGTAAAAAAAATTCTGAAGAAGATAAGAGGCAGTAGCGAGAAGGAATTTCATCTGTGTGCATTCTGCTAAATGGGTGTTTGTGGTTAGTTGTACCTATCCTCGGCAGACATTTTGAGGGCATGGATATAACATGCTCTCAAAAATACTGAGGGTGCCCTCCTATTTTATCAGGTTATATGTTCCAGTACTCATCCTGCCAACAGGGACACATTTGGAATAAATTCAGAACATGCTTCCTATTCTTACTTGTCATTGCATTAGTGTATGTGCTTTCACATGTCCCCCAGCCGAGTTTCAATCGGTGAACCCCCAAGTCAAGTGAGATAGCCTGCCTGCTTATCGACTTATGATTTTTCTCTTTCCTTATATTGCAGTAAATATGTTTGTTCCTAGTGGATTTTTATACTATATATAAGGCTGTTGCATATACATTTCCTCATCTGATGCATGTGAAGCCATGCCTGCTTTAATTATTGTAGATGGGAGATTAGCTGTCTACAGCTCTCCTTCTTTGTATTACTTGACTGTAGTCTGCTGTTAAAATGTTGAATTGGTATTATCATTGGGTAGGCTGATCTCATGGACATTGGGACACACAGTGATATCATTTGTTTGTTTGAAAGATATGTTCCTCTTCACACCCTCGCACAAATGTGTCTGAGGCAATGTCACATTAGAAGAGATGAGTTAAGACACCAGAATGTAAAATGGCAGTTTATTGTTGTTTGTTTAGGCTACTCAGGAAAGTCTCATGTACAACCGTAAACATGCTATGTCAATAGAATAATAGAATCAGAGTTAGATTGGGATATTTAAGCCATTCAGTCCAGTCTCCTCCAGAAATCCAAATTAAATATCCCCACCATATGGCTGTCTAGCCTTTGCTTAAATGCATCTAGTCAAAATTCCTCTAGTAATTAGTTCTGCTATCAAATTATTCTTACTCTTAGGAAGTTTTCTTTAACATTCAGTCAGTATTTACCTTTCTGTAACTTAATCTATTATGTAGAGAAGGAGCTCCTTTTTCTTATTACAGTAGCTTCTCCTTCCATGAAATCCTACTTATCAATGCTATGAGTTTATTAAAAAATGTTTTTTTAAGTCCAAGATTCATGTCTGATTGCACATAGCTTTAGTTTCCCTTTAAATCAAGAATTCAAGTATTAAATTACTACTTTTCCCAATATTTCTGTTACTTTCAGTTCCTTGCCTTAAAAATTTCTTAGCATCAAAATAAGTTAGCTGGTCCTATTGTGTTTCTTCCACTTTCCAAGGAGAAAGTGGTCAGCAAGTCAAATCAAAGATATTTCTACCTTTTATAGCCATGCTATTCACCTTTTAAAACATTCTTTCTCCTTCTTAGGAAATCTATTGTAAAAGAGATGTGTGCAACATGAAAAAAGGACGCTTGGCATATAGCAACCCCGCTCAGGATATTCTGCATTTACTGTGCTGTCCATTAATAAGTGACCCTGCCCTTTCCTTTAAACAGGAGAAGCAGTCCTTGTCTTTGCCGCTGTGGAGCCGGAGATCTCTTACTTATATCTTCTTCTTGGCCCTGGGACTTATACTGTTGCTGCTCGGCCTGATTTTAACATCGACGTACATCTACAGATATTTATCTCTTACTCACTCAGTTGCTCGCATGGGCATGGATACGGTAGGCATGATTTGGTTCACACCATCCACACAATCAGAGGATTAACATTTCCACCTTAAAGCTTGTAAAGTAATTGCTCCACTGATCTGCTTGAGCTACACAGCAATCGAGACAATTGAGCTTCCCATTTCAGATAGCCAAAGTAGTTTCAGCATAATCTCTGCTTTTATATGTTTCCTAATCCAATATTTATTTGATAGACCATGTCTCATATATGACAGATATTTACAAACAGATGACCTAAGTTTACCTTTTTTGTCCCCAATCATAAAATATTTTTGTATCAAGCGTCTTTATTGCTGTATATATTTCTGAGGTAGATTTACATAGATTGCATTTCCAAATCATACCCCCAGTATATGGAGTATCCGTGATGTCTTCTTTAACTGTTTTTTGCTTTTGGTAGGTCTGCTCAGGCAGGCTACAAACAGTAACCCAGGAAAAAAAGGAGGGGAAGGGCTTTCATTATTTATGTAAAGCACCATCATATGGTGGGGAAGCATTGGATTCAGTAACTGCCAGGTCTCCCTTCAAAACAAAGTGATCCTTGTGATCAGACTATCCCTGGGTGCCCCAGGGACACTGGGACAGCATAGTGATCTTCAGAGGGTGAACCTAATTTTACCATTTGTTCCATCTCATATTGTCCAGTATCTCATCCTGAGCACTTGTATAGTGATGTTTTGTCAATTAGCTGGGTGGCTTAGTGACTTATATATTACATGAAAAGGTTGCTGAGTTAATTTCTGATGCTTCTGTTTCAGCTCCTGACTATTAGGTTAATTACATTCAAGAAGAGACACCATAATTTCTTATGATCATTCTTTCCCCTCAAGTAAAAAGTCCTCAGCCTATCAAACTGGTAGATGGTGGTGTCAGGCAGAGAGTTTTATGTTTATTAGGCATTGGTGAACCTTTTGGAACAAGCTGAACCTGTACAAGAGAGGGAGGCTCCACTTGAACCAAAATGGAACCAGGCTGCTGGTGCATTACATCAAAAAGGTAGTAGAGTAGCTTTTAAATTTTCCCATGGATGGAGATGATCCTTCAACTTTGTATACTTGGACTGACAAAGTTCCTCATCAAAATCCCTTAAGTAAACTTAGCAGTCATGGGATAAAAGGATCTATCCTATTAAGGACCACTAACAGGTTAAATGGACAATTTTCTCAGTGGAAGGAAAAAGTGGAGTGCCCAAGGATTGTGTTGAGACCAGTACTTTTTAACTTGCTTATCAATTATCTTGATTTAGGGAAGACCAGTTAGCTGGCCAAATCTGCAGATGGTATCAAAATATTCAAGGAGGTAAAAATCAAAAGTGACTGAAGAACTCCCAGAGGTTTTTTTTAAGCTGAGTGAATGGTCAAATGACAAATGCAGCTTAGTTTAAATAAATCTGAAGGGGGGGGGAGTAAATTCACATATACAGATTGGGTCTGAATTATTGTAACGAAACTAGAAAAAGATCTTGGGGTCATAGTAGATAGATATCAATTTAGCTGTGCAAAATGCAAATTCTATGCTAGGGAACTTTAGGTAAAGGATTGAAAGTAGAAGTACCAATTTTGTATTTCCTTTATACAGATCTACAGTATATATGCATCTTGGGACCTGCATGTAGTTCTGATTTCCACACTTGAAAAAGGATATAATAGAGCAGGAAAAAATACAGAAGAGTGCTCCAACACCTTTCCAATAAGAAAAAGCTAGACTTTTGGGGATTCTTTAGCTTAAAAAGTTCTACTGAGTGGCACATGATTGAGGTACATAAAATCATACATGGCATGGAGAAAAGAGGGCAGGGAGAAACACTAGGACTAAGGCTATCCAATGTAGCTGAGTTGAAGGAGATTTAAAACAAAAAAAGGAAATACTTTATATAGCACATAATTAATCAGTGGAATTCATTATCACACGTCATGGTGATAACCAACAATTTAGATGGCTTTAAAAGGAGATTTGATAAATTCATAGGGAGCAGATCTATGAAGGGCTTTAAGCAAAGATTCATTGGGTTAGGAGCAGGATGCTTTCAAATAGCAGCTTCAGGGGAAGAACAGTGGAAGAGGGTATATCTCTGTCTCCTGCTTCTAAGCAGCCCAGAGGCATCTAGTTGGCCCTGTGAGAAACAAAATTAATTTTTGTTCCAATTTTTATTTTGCAGCTCTGCACCTTTTAGTTGAATAGAGATAGAAACTCAATATGGACTCTTTAAAGCAATCTTTGGTTCAGACCATGACTCCAAAAATTATTTCTAGTGCAGAGCTAGCCCAGTTCAGGCTTCATTCAGTTCTGACTCTGCCTTCCAATAGGTGTGATTCCTGATACCTAGCATCCTTAAAGCATGAGTTTGGTTCTGGCTTCATTTGATGCTGAGTCAGTAGGCCCTATCATTACCCCGTACTCTGTATTCAGAAAATCAAAATTGACTAGAAATGAATCAGACTCATCAGTTTCCAGAGCAACTAAGGGTAGTCTGGGTTGGTTATGGAGTTCTGTTTTGGCCCTCAAAGTGGATCTATTTGTCTGCAAATTGCTAATATGAACTTTTCACTAATGGTTTATTAGTTTATTTTCCTCTTACCTTCTAGTTTTAGGCTATACACTCTTTATCACTTCCATTACTGTAATCTTCCTCACTAAGTGTTCCCATTATTCCCTGCTTCTTCAAACTAAAAAAACAACTTGTATTGTCGAAGGCTTTCACGGCCGGCATACGATGGCTGGTGTGGGTCTTCCGGGCTGTGTGGCTGTGTTCTGGCTGCTGAGGGTGATTAGCATGTTCATTGTGTGAATTGTTCACGCGTCCTGGTGGGTGAGCTGAGTTCGTTGACCTTTTGCAGGCTGTATTTTTCAGGATTGGTAGCCAGGTTTTGTTGATTTTTAGACTTTCCTCTTACGCAAACCAGACCTCAAATTAGGACACAAAGTTTACAGAA